AGAGGGGCAAGACAGACAGATTTCTTACCAAGGGAATCCCCAGCATGGAAGATGCAGCAATTTTTCATTCCCATATGCTTGACAACACTTCTGTAAGTGGCTCAGGACAAACCACAGAGAGCAGCCCAGAGCGCCGCAGGGCTCTGAAGGAAGAGTCCATCTGTTCAGACGCAGCATACGCTGCGGGCTCGCTATGCTTTTGCTAAGGACAAAACAAGCCACAACACCCCCGATTTTCAACCAAGTCAGAAGTGCACAAACTACTTGTGAAATAGATCTCTAAAAGTTCCTTGTAGCAACCTGGCACAGGATGAAGACCACGGATGTGTATCTTTATCATGTGGTTAGTGTGGATAAAGACATCCCTTTTCACAACGGTACAGTCTCTAGGAGCTTTGGGATGGTTAGTCACAAGCACTATAAAATAATTTGGCCCTTGGAACAGCAACTATTTTTTTTTCTTGTCCTCTTTTACTGGTTTATACAAATTCAAGGCCAGTTTCTCAACTAATGTAAATCATCATACCTCTGCTAACACCAAACATGTTGTGGCAACGCACACCCCACTGAGATCTGACCCTTCTCCCTGTCCTAGGCCCAGACTGGTGGCCCCTGCAGAAAGCAATACTTTTTTAAAAAAAAAAAATGCACACACACACGTAGGCATCACTAGCTCATCTTTCAATCCTGTTTATTTTGCCTTCCCCTTCACTGTATCAAAGCAGCCAGCAACAAGCTTGCAGCAAATGTCAAAAACTTATTTCCAGTGGATGGTCTTCCATAGCATACATATATTACACCCCCACGAAGGACTCACAAAGAGGGTCTCATCACAGTATCTATGACTTTAACCTCAGTCCCTCCTTTGGAGGAATTATGCGCAAGCCTGTCTTTCTCCCTGCAGCTGCAGCAGGAACTGGGACTCACAGGTAGAAATTACTACTACTACTATCATCACTTACTAGTCAGAACCAGCCATAATATGCATGGGAAGTGCCATATAAAAAGCTAAAATATCATTACTATTCCACATCTAAAAGAGTAGTATTTACCTTTCATTAGCACTTTTTTCAGGTGTCTAGAAACACTGTGTTCATTTTATGGAGAGCTGAAACAAATTGCCCAAAGTCAGCCAGAGTCCAACAGAGAAGTAGTAACAGAGCTCCTAGTATCTCAGATCAATGTGCTACCCCCTGAACCATGCTGCCATGCTCACCTTTACACATCTGCAAGGATGATTCATCACTGCTCACACTAGAGACCCTCCCCAGGGCCCTTACGGCCCTCAGAGATTGGGCCACCTAGATCATCTCCAAACTCAATACACCTGGTATTTTCTCAGCCGCTGGTATGAAAAGAGCTCAGGAATCTCCACCACGGCAGTGCGTGACTCCTTCTCCTTCTTCCCACTGCTACGGTCATCACTGTGTAAGCAAGACTGATGAAGATAAGAGCAAACTCAGGGGCATCCTCAGGTAGGAAGCCTAGAGCCACCAAAACGCTCTTCTGTGCCCAGTTATACCAACCTTGCTCTCCTTGCTGTCATCACAAGGTCACTGTGCTTTGAGTTTTGGACTTGTGTGCCAGAAAGACCGGCCCTGTCATTTACAGCACCTTTTGCTCAGATGGCTCCCACATGTCTTTATAAACTTTAGTAAATGAGTGTATAAACTAGATCTATCTCCACATAAATCACTCTGTCCAAAGTACAGCAGTCTCCGGGATGAAACACAGCAGCTGCTGTAAGATCAGACCACAGCTCTGCACCACAGATTAGGGCAATAAAACATGCAGCGTGAGGCAACTGAAATCGCTGGGGGAAGGAAGGAGGAGGTGGTGGAGAGCATTAGTAGTTATAATTACCTGAGTATGAATTTGGCTGGAAATGGTATAGTGTTTAACCCTTGCACATCTGCAAATCAAAGCAGTCTTCCACCACTTGTCAAAACAACCCAACTGTTCCATTCTCCATATTTTGGCCCTCTAAAGCATTTCCTGAAAATTCGAAAGCACCTTGATAAGAGCAAAACTGATGTGCTGAGCATAAGCTCTAACCTAATCAAATTTCTCAGCAACTGACTCAGTAACTAACTGTGAGCCCGTAGCTGCTAGACCGCCCTCCCTTCCTCTCCCTTGCATGACAAATGAACATCGCATCTATATATTCCCTGTTTTAAAATAGCTTCTGCTCCTGTAACTTGCAAACCATTCACATAGATCTTAATTTCTGGGCTAAATGTAGTTAATTACAGTCACTTAGGGGACTGAGCTGCTGCGTCCTTTTCCTGATTCTGGAGTGGGCTCCAAATCATAAACTGCTTATAACAAGAAATCTTTGGAGGAGGGGAGGCGCATGTTGGAAACACAGATTTACTGTTATCAAAGAGAGTAGATGATAGTCAGTTATCCTTTTCTCCCTCTTCTCCCTGGCCATATGCGTATCATCCTCAGCTAAACCACAAAACTGCTACAAGTATGGGGAACTGCTCTGAAAGGTGATTCCAATCCATATTGCACAGGACAGGATGGTTTGGGATGACGTCTCGGGGCCAATCCTGTTTATGAATGTGTATGAAGCCAAGCTGGAAAAAAAATCACTCATTTCGGTGCTCTCTCTGTCACATGTGTTTCTACATCTACAACCTCTTCCAGACACTGAGGCCGAAATTATCAGGAAAATAACCCTATTTGAAAACCAACGCAGCCAAGCATTGCCCATTTGCATCAGATTGTTACTGAAATACTGCTAATAGTGAGTGATAGCTCAGACCGTATACAGCATAGCGCCCTAGCCCTGACCAGGAGCATGCTGACAAAGCAGGTCATGGTCTTGGAGTGCCCAGCCAGGTCTCCTTTAAGCAAGACTAGATCAGTGGGTATATTCCAGTTAAGGAGAAGTTGGCCCACAGGAGCAGCCCAGGAGCCAAAGCAAACTCTCCTAAAACGTGCACAACACGGACCCACTAGTCCTCAGTACCAGCTGCTCCAGACTTGCTAGTTCGCACCCACGGGACGACACCACTTGTTAATGTGGTCATTGCCAGATAGATGATCTCCCTATATGAAATGTGTATAAATAATCAGTCAGCTAATAACAGCTTTCAGGGCAGATGGAGCTAGTCTCCTTTCTAACCACTTATATGGAAAAATATACTATTTATTTCATTTATTTATCGACAGACCATGTATATGAATAACATTGTATTCCCGTCGTATTCGATTCCTCTCCCAACAATTTCATTTTACCTTCTGAAGCTGCCAGTTTTCAGTACGTGGAAGGGACACGAAACACGCTTTCCTAAGGGCTGCAGAACTGGGATTTCTACGTGTAATTGCCACTAGTGCTAACTAGTAAATTGCACATACTTCTGGCCAAGCTGCACTTTCACAGTTTTGCAATTCCTGAGAACGTCAACCGAATTAACCGGACAGGGGGGCAGAATTAGGTCTGCTGTACTTGAGTGAAACAAGTAAATGCACTGCAGCTGGAGCGTTGCAGTGCTAACAGTTACCTAGGATTATAACCCAAGCCTTATAAATTAGAGAATAAGGCATCAATGGCTTCATTGTACTGAGTTAACTCACACCAGAGGTATGAAGCATGCGCTGCAAAAAAGCTCTGTGGATCAGATTGCTCCAGGCATAAGCTCCAGCACTATTGCCTATCTACACGCTCAGAGCAAGAGGAATCATTGAAGGAGAACGACCACTCAAAACATCTTCATATAAGACAAAAGATGACACATTTTCTGCATACACAAATCCTAGGCTTTACATTTGCCAAAACACAAGGGAAGAAATTGGGAGATTTTGAATGTGCACTCTTTTGCATAGTTAAGAATTTGATCTCACCAGCAAAACAGGTAATTAAGCTACTCTTTTCTTGTTCTGTAAGTACAACACAGAGCATGGAATGCATAAAATGTATGAAACCTCCAAAACTATACAGCCAAAGATTTCAGCATGCAAGTCCAGCAGCTAAAATCCTGCAAGGCAGCCATCCCTTGTGAGATTTTTCTCCTATTAGCCTCGTGATCCGTTATAAGAAATTCAGAAAGAAGAAAAAGATAAAGACACTACAGCTGAACTCTCGTAGCTAACAACTTGTGCAGAGAATGTGGGAGTAGAAGAATGGCTGCTGTGCTGTGTGCTAGGTATATAAGTCAATAGTTTTCCAAGAAACATAAATATAAGACTGGCTTTGATAAATAGAGAGTGAAGGAGGAGTCATTTGAAAAGAGTATAAGAGAATTAGGTATCTGTGATTTTAAGTATACATTCTGTTCCTGAAGGAAAAATAAAATATGAATATTTTAAGCAAAACTATGTAATTTATGTTTAATAAGGACTCTGCTCGCGTGCTTACAAAGATCAGAAAATGAAATTGGCTACAACAGCAACAAAAGTAACTGTACAAGAGAGAAGAACAGAAACGTGCAGTTTTAGAGCCTGGCCATATTTGCTTTGTTTCAATAATGTAAAGTATTTTGTAAAGATTAAAGTATCACTATAATCAAGTTTCCGGGCCACCTCTTCAGATGCTGTAAAGTGATATCATTTAAGTTTCCAATAAAACTGGACAATAATGATCGATTTTGAATTTTTGACTGAAAAAAAATCCCCATTTTAATCAGGTGTTCTGTTGCACAATCCAGTTTGACAGAATAACATATTAGAATGAAGAAAGCCATCAGCAAAGATGGAATGTGATTCTCTTCAAAGCCACATCGGGCCCAGCCTGACTCTTGATCAAAATTAAGTGCAGGCATGAGGAAAGTTTCCCTTAAAAAAGGGAGAGCTAGGGTAATGATGTGAAAAATATTAGTAAAATATTCACACACTGTGCATGCACAACTGAGACAAGTAGGGAGCAGCAGATAATATTCACATTGCTTTGCTCCACGCATGAAGCTTTGCACCAGTGCACCATGCACAACTGAGACAAGTAGGGAGCAAGCAGATAATATTCACATTGCTTCGCACCAGTGCATCATACTCACGTGCTTGGCCGAGAAGTCATCAACCTCCCGAAGCACCTTCTCCTGGCACTCTGGGTTGGTGGCTAGCAAGTAAGTGGCGAACGACAGCGTGCTAGTGGTGGTCTCGTAGCCAGCAATCAGGAAGAGAAAAGCTTGGCCTGCGATCTCGTCCTCCGTTATCATCTTTTGAATCTTCTCAGATGAGGCCTTGCCCACAGGAGGTGCCCCGTGGCGGCTGGAAGCAGCAGCTGGGCTCATCACATCCAAACACTCGGCTTCCAGGGAAGCGGCAGCGTTGCGGGAGTCCAGCATGCACTGGAGAAAATCCCTGCGCCTCTGCAGAACAGGGGATGAGGAGAAGCATGAGGAACAGGAACACAGCAGTGCCTTTTCCCATGGCAGGAAGGGGAGAGAGAGATGTCTCCTATTTAAATGGTCTGCCCACTGCCACAGAATGGCCACCAGCCTCCCAATGAACGACAAGGGCTCTCAGCGCTGTCCCCCTAAACCAGCTGGAAATGTTATTAGTAAGAACTGCCCCACACTACTTGCTTCCCAGAGGAATGGGGTTAAGCTACCTCCATTGCATAACTCTATTTTCACTGAGGCTTGCTGATGGCCAGCTCCATACAGAGCCTCTTTCATCCTGAGGGTGAGTACTTGGCACCTGCTGGAAGTGACTGGATTGGGGTGTATTCCACATGTATACAACTAACAGAGGTGCTAAAACTCTTCCTTAGCTCATTTTTTCCACCATTTTTGGCATATCTGCTATCTGGAGGCACCATTTCTGTCTGCTCCCAGGTATAATACTTGCCACCTAGGTTTATGTTTGCATCAACAATAACTTTTGTATCAGGTTAATGAGACAGGCCTAGAAAGTGACCTCATCAAATTGGGGCTCATTTACTGGGAAGTATAGTTAAAGATATTCTCCTGTAAAGACAGCTTTTATTAACATATTTGCAGAAACACATTGCAACAATAAGTATTTTCCTTTATGATATGACCTGTTTGGATGGCTTTTCTTTGCAAAATGCCCACTAAATAGTTCTACTGTTATGAAAGTTGCTTTCTTTTGTGCTAGTTTCTGGGGGAAAAAAAAAAAACCTTAAAAACAGACCTATGGACAAGAGTGAGTTGACTCAAAACCAGTCTGGACAGCAAGCTTGATTAGGCTTTGAAATATGACCCCAAAGGTTTGAATTGACTTTGGGAGTGGGCATAATAGAATTTTGCTGAACCTAAGCCATAAGACTATGTGATTGATTTTCAATTCCTCAAATACCAACAGAATGCATGATAGCTCAAGGACTTACAAGTGACTGCAGTGCAAGAACATGACAACTGCTCCACTGGGATGGACAAAAGAAGGGATCAAGTCTTTCTTCAAAAGAAGCTAATGCTGCAAAACTGCATTTGTCTCTTAAAAGGAAAATATTTGAATGATTTCTTGGATCTGATGATAGAGAGATAAAGAAGAAAAAGGAAAAGACAGAAAAAAAGGATAAGGTGAGGAAGAAGTAATTAATTGCAAATGTCAAAGGACTTTATCAGATAATGTTTTCCATGTGACATGGAGAAAGAGAGCAGTGAGAAAAGGAGAAAAAAGAGAGAACTATTGAATGTCCTGTGCTTAGCTCTGCTGCAACAAACAGTTCTTACCCAGCTAAAACCAGAAAGCCACAGTAATCTCGAGGCTCAAGTAACACCCGGGATTAGCTCCTTGCCTCTGTAGCAGCTCCAGGAAGTCGGCACTCCTCCCGCCCTCCCGCTGCCCCACAGGAGCTTGGCATTTCCCACACGTACGTCGTGCACCGTGTATCCGTGCACACAGTGCATCCTGTGCCCTGGCACCCCTGAGGAACCAGCGCTCCACAGAGCAGCCAGCGCCGCCGACGCTCTCCGAAGGACGCTGCAGACTGGCCGGTCCCCACGCAACTCCCCCAAGGCACGGGATAGGTGCTCACGTCCCCAGCAGCAAAGACACTGCTCAGGGATTGAGTCCCAGCTCTGCATACACGTCCTTGAGCCTAAACTTAGGAACGATTTCCACAGCCAAAATAAGCCATACTTCCTCGGTCTCTCACTTCTAATAGACAGAGCAAGGCAAAAATCTCACGTGCCTCGCCACAGTCATTCTCCTCCACTTCAACAGGATATCTTGGCTCTTTTATTTTCCTTCAGAGCAGAGGAAACAAGACTTTTTGCATAGTTAACTGTGCAGGGCTAAAAAAAAAAAAAAATACCATTTCCAGGAAGGGCTTTATTCACAGGCTAATTGAACATACAGTCTGGGAGTCTGTGTATTACGTAACTGGGAATCCAGCTCTTAGGCATGTCCCACAATTGAGGGACCTTCCTGATAGAGATATTGGGGCTAAGGTTTATTTTTTAAAAAGCAGCCCAGCTCCATTGTGTCCATTATTGTGTAGATGCACTATGCCAGTATTGTAATGAACTGCATCTGCAGAGCTGTTCCCTTTTATCTGTAAGATTACTCATCATGATATAAATTACCTTTATAACACTGTAATTGCATTCATATTCAGTGCAGTTGTACTGCTGTAATACAGTATAGTTCAAACAGTATAACATTTGGAATAGTTCAAATGGCTGAGCACTGCAGCACTACAGTACAGTATTCTGAATTCATCCTTCTCTAGTTGGGAATGCTCTTGCAAGCAAACACATTGCCCTCCGAGGGTCTGCAGTCCCCAGTTGTGATCTGAGTCTGGTCCTATATTGGGGCAATACGTTCTCTGGAGACCCTTTA